CACACGAGCACACTTTGTGATTCTCTGTAATAGCACCCTATTCTCTAAAATACCTCATATTTTCACCTTCGACTATCGATCACTGACCTTTCGCGTTGAAAATCTTAGTAGTGTCTTTCATTTTTTTTCATGATAATTCAGTTTATCCTAATTAAAAGTATAACGTGTAAGCCACACATGTACGCACTGCGGACCTATTTTTATACATAGAAGCTAATTATATAAATAGCTCATTTCCCGGAGGTGTCCGCTTATACAGGTTTAATCGTACTCGATAAACTGAAGAGCTATTGAAAATCACAAAATTGATGAGCTGTATGAATTTCCGAATTATGATTCAAGCCGTGATTAAAAGTTTTGGACGATCAACAGACAACAGAATTGAGGAGAATTCGAACGAAGCGTTTTGCTATTATTTATACAGTATTGTAAATAAATGCTTCAAATATGAATACAGACATGACGAAATGATTTAAACAAAATAGTTCATAAATAGGAAAAAAAGACATAACACAAGGCTGGGAGTTCAGCAGTCACTAATATCGCCTCGGAAAGGAAAGAAAAAAAAAAGAAAAAAGTTATTATAACACAGGGTATTCGTATTTGGTAACCCATCCAAGCATGAACCCCGCCGAACAGAGCCATGACAGGGCTTAACGTTGTTGAGCGGACGAGACGCGGTGCCGTCTTTGTGGTATTATGACCCTTCGTTGGACAATTTTTTTCTCGAAAGGTAACAAAGAAAGAAAAAAATCACTGATATCGCCCAGGAAAATAAAAAACGGGAAAATAGGAATGAAAATGAGAATCCGATTATACATGCTTTGCTGATCAGACAAGAAGCCGTACTTTCTTTATAATTGACTCACACAAGGATCACCAATAACTTTATGAATGTTTTCAACAGTGCTACATCTCCTCGTGTACTCTCTTACCGTTACGTTTTGCCAGTAGGCTTTAACCTACGGATATATCCCAAACCAACCCTACGATTGCTGTTAAAGACTTGTAACAATATTTTAATTAATGCAAGTGAATATATAAAAGATCATACATTTGAACTGCGGGGAAAGATATGAAGACATGATTGATATGGTGAGTAATTCAGTTTTGCAAAACCTCAAACCATGTAGACAGCTGACTGAGTAATCTGAATGTGTTATCTCGAAACTCAGCCACCCTGGAAAACTAACATTAATGCCCCTTATACCTTTTACAGTAGTCCATTGTGAAGATATAGCTCCCGAAACCGACTGTCGGTAAGCTGTCGGCCGACAGGTTACCGACAAGCTACCGACTGTCTACCGACAGGTTACCGATAGTTTGCTAAAACAAGAAGTTTGCTGTAGAATGGACAAGAATAGTACGAAAGCCGAGGAAGGACTTCCGACTTCCGACTTCCAAATTCATAGGTCTTCATAGTGAACCTCGGTTTTAAGTTAGTCACATATGTAATTGCTGTTGTTTCGTTTGGTGAAAATGGATGAGCAGGTAAGCTTTATATATCTGGCCGATTTTCCAAAACCATGTCCGCTATTTTGGTTCGCGCAAAGCCTTAACACGGTTTTCATAAATCCAGTCAAACATATTTTCTCAGAATAACACAACTACATGGCGACAATTTTCACTTTTTGTAGTTTGATATGGTTTTTGGAATTCAAAATTCTTTTTCGTGAACATTTGATGCCGTCTCCAGTGAGAAAAATTGCCCGACTTCAATGCTTTTCTTGTTAACATACATTGAATTTAGGACAGTAGAGTTTTTCCCGCCTGCTTAATACTGATTGGTTAATTCAAATTTCAGGCGCACCAGCCGTATGCAAGGTCAGGGTGTTAGAATATTATTAGGGTTAGGGCATTAGGGTATTGGTGTGTTTGGGTATTAGGGTGTTAGGGTATTGGAGTATCAGGGTATTACGTTATTAGGGTATGAGGGTATTGTGGAATTATGGTATTATGGTATTGGAGTATTAGGGTATTGGGGTATTGGGGTATCAGGTTATTACGTTATTAGAGCATTAGGGTATTAGGGTATCACGGAATTATGGTGTTATGGTATTAGGGTATCAGGGTATTGGGGTATTAGGGTATTGAAGTATCAGGGTGTCACGTTATTAGGGCATTAGGGAATTAGGGTATTATGGTATTAGGGTGTTTGGGTATTGGGGTATTATGGTATTCGGGAATTAGGGTATTGGGGTATTCAGGTGTCAGGGTATTGGGGTACTGGGGTATTGAGTTTTTAGGGTATTAGGGTATTAGAATATAAGTGCATTAGGGTATTGGGTTATTAAGGTATTGGGGTATTGGGTTATTGGGGTATTAGCAGGGTTCGGGACTAACTTTTCAGCTCGCTAGCCCAGTGGTTAGTGACAGGTTTGATTCACCAGCCAAAACATATTTTTCACTAGCCAGACGCAGACATTTGTTACTGTAACGTGAACAAAAAATTCTCCCAGACTTGTGAATCCAAGTTCTCAGTTCTTTTATTTTCATCCTGTAAATCAGTTTCAGTACCTTTTTATTGAACTGGCCACCATACTACTGACGTGCAATAAATTCAACTTATCAGGTTTTTAGAAATAAGTTAGTATGCTTTACATTTAAAAGTTTTATAATAAAATAGACTTCACTAATCATGCTTTTTTAAATCAAAAACAAAGGTTCCATTCTTCTCGGTCAATGAAGTTCATAATACTTAGAAAGACACTGGCATAAATTTAACATGGCATCAAGGCAAGTAAATGCTAGCCTTTGTAGCTTGCATTATGCTTTGAATGAACAACTGACAAGTACAAAGTTTTCGCGCCCGTGATTCTTACAGAACTGCCGTCAAAATGCCGATTCACGATTTCTCCTGAACACAATAATTCGTTCCATCTTAACTTTATATACAAGTTGCAAACATAGAAATCGATATTATATAGGCATCATTCAGATTTTCGAGCAACTGCGTATTTTTTAACTTTTTGAAAGCGTATGTGACCTGCAGATGCTGCGCGCATGAAACATAATCCCTAGAGTTCCGCATGATTTCATGCACGACTAATCATTAGCGGTAAGCAGTTCGTTTGTCGTTCGTCGCTTTTAACTAGGGCAAAAAAACAAAAAAGTCAATCATTCTTTTGCATTTTAGTAATTCAAAGGTCTTGTTTGGGCCATTCAATTAAATATGATATTTATTACAGCCGACGTTTTAAATTCTGCACGCTTTGACTCAATTTTGTTTTGTGAAAAGTTTGAAATTAACTTTTAATTGGTTTCCTCTGGGCCTCCAGTGCTCACAAATTTTCACTAGCCAAAATGGCTGGTGAAGCGTAAAAACCACTGGCAAAAAATGGAATTTTTACTGGTCTGTGGCTAGTTGGCTACCGTTAATCTCGAGTCCTGATTAGTGTATTAGCGTATTGGGGACTTACTCTCTCGTATCCACTTCAATACACGTTTCATTTTTCTCTATTTTTGTCAACCAATCATGTCATCTTAAGTATCATTTACAATTTTGTAACCGTTTTATCCATATCTACCTAGCTTCAGTGTAACCCCTGAAGAAGGTTAGTCCTGTCTAACCGAAATATTGGGCATTAAATTCACCCTTTTCAGCCGTCGGATCAAGCTTTCAATTGGTTTTATGAATTACTGTTATACCCTAATATCCCAATACATCTATACCCTAATAACCTAATAGTCTATTATCCTAACACCCTAACGCCCTAACACCGTAACACCCTAATAGCCTTATACCCTAATACCCTAATATCTTAATACTATTATACCCTGATACCCTAATACCCTAATACTCCAATACCGTATTGCCCTAATAGCCCAATGCCCTAATAGCCCTAGTAGCCCAATGCCCTATTACCCTAACACCTAAATGCCCTAACACCCGAGTGCCCTAAAACCCTAATACCGTAACACCCTAACACCCTTATACCCTAATACCCTAATATCTTAATACTATTATAACCTTATACCCTAATACCCCAATACTCCAATACTGTATTGCCCTAATACCTTAGTGCCTCAATACCCTAATACCTTAATAACCCAATACCCTATTACCCTAATACCCTAACAGCCTA